AAAAAGGTGAGTGGTGCATTGAGGTATATGTGGAGTCAAAAAACATTATCTATGGAGGCAAAGAAGGGAATGTATGAAAGTATAGTAGTACCAACACTCTTATATGGGTGTGAAGCTGGGGTTGTGAATGCAGCAGTGAGGAGGCGGTTGGAGGCAGTGGAGATGTCCTGTCTAAGGGCAATGTGTGGTGTAAATATTATGCAGAAAATTCGGAGTGTGGAAATTAGGAGAAGGTGTGGAGTTAATAAAAGTATTAGTCAGAGGGCTGAAGAGGGGTTGTTGAGGTGGTTTGGTCATTTAGAGAATGGATCAAAGTAGAATGACATGGAGAGCATTTAAATCTGTAGGAGAAGGAAGGCGGGGTAGGGGTCGTCCTCGAAATGGTTGGAAGGAAGGGGTAAGGGAGGTTTTGTGGGCGAGGGGCTTGGACTTCCAGCAGGCGTGCATGAGCGTGTTCGATAGGAGTGAATGGAGACGAATGGTATTTGGGACCTGACGATCTGTTGGAGTGTGAGTAGGGTAATATTTAGTGAAGGGATTCAGGGAAACCGGTTATTTTTATATAGCTGGACTTGAGTCCTGGAAATGGGAAGTACAATGCCTGCACTCTAAAGGAGGGATTTTTGGGATATTAGCAGTTTGGAGGGATATGTTGTGTATCTTTATACGTATATGCTTCTAAACTGTTGTGTTCTGAGCACCTCTGAAAAAACAGTGATTATGTGTGAGTGAGGTGAAAGTGTTGAATGATGATGAAAGTATTTTCTTTTTGGGGATTTTGTCTCTTTTTGGGTCACCCTGCCTCGGTGGGAGACAGCCGACTTGTTGAAAAAAAAAATTTATACATGGCCACATCAACTCCCTCTGTACATTTCCAGATCAACAAGCAATGATATCTACAATGTAAGGGAAGGAAAACTTTTATTATTTTTGAAAACTGAAAAAAAAAAAAACTGACTTTTTTTGAGGCATCAGGAACTAAACCCTATTTTTCTTGTATGTTCTTCAGTTCACTCAACACTATTTAATGTAATGCACAGTTTTCTGGACTGTAACCATCATGTTACTGAAGGGTCAACTGTATTTTGAGATTACTGTATATTTATATTACCAGATTCTGGAAAGATTGTTTTTAGGTGTAGAAGAACCACGAAGCATAAAAAGAGACTTAAATTTTTTACCACCTTATTAATAATAATAATAATACACATATTCTGATTAAAAATTTGGAATACAAAGAAAATTAACCCTTAAATGGTGCAAACGTATATATACGTTCACTCGCGCAGCGCCCAGAATATTTTGAAAATAAAACAAAAAAAAATTACAAAAAAAGAACACATTTTTTTACATATTTTAGAATAAAAAAAAATTAGGGTCAGTACTTACCGAGATATGAGGCCGAAAAAAGTTGGCATGGATGCTCATGTGACACCCAAACAGGGAGTCCTGCCGCTTGCAGAAGTGTTTCCGATATACCTTTTTTTTTCTATTTTTCATATTATTTTATATAATTTTTATGTTCTGATAATTACAATCTGTAGTAGTTCTTGTAATTTCAAAAACCAAATCTTTTTTTGGGCACTAGAAATTTGGGTACTAAAATTTGTAGTAAAAATTGTCAAAAAAACCACGGGACAGGGGACATTTCCCCTGCCTTGGCCTTTACTTTTGTTTTGGGAAATATTTTAAAAATGTTTTATTTTGCCCCAGCAATGTTGAGGGGAGGAGGAGCAGAAAAAAGGGGAGGAGGAGGAAGACAAATGGGGAGGGGGGAGGGGGGAGGAGAAAGACGAAGGGGAGGGGGGAGGGGGAGAAAAAGGGAGAAGGGGGAGGAGGAGGAGAAAAAAGGAGGAGGGGAGGAGAAGACGAAGGGGAGGAGGAGGGGAGAAAGACAAAAGGGGAGGAGGAGGAGAAAGACGAAGAGGGGAGGGGGGGGAAAAGACGAAGAGGGGAGGAGGAGGAGGGGGGGAAAGAAAAAAGAGGGGGAAAAGAGGGGGAAAAAAAAAGACGAGGAGGAGGAGGGGGAAAAGCAAAGGGGAGGAGGGGGAAAGATGAGGGGAAAAGGGAGGAGGGGAGAAAGTTTGAAGGGGGGAGGAGAAGGGGCCCGAGGAGGAGGAGGAGGAGAAAGACAAAGGGAGGGGGGGGAGAAAGAAAAAAAGAGGAGGAGGAGAAAGTTTAAGAGGGGGGGGGGAAAGGGACGAAGAGGAGGGGGAAAGCAAAGAGGAGGAGGAAAAAAGACGAAGAGGAGGAGGAGGAAAAAGGGACGAAGGGAGGAGGAGAAAGCCCAAAAGGAGGAGGAGAAAGACAAAGAGGGGGTTTAAAGAAAGCGAAAAAGGGGGAAAGGAAAAAGGGACGAAGAGGAGGAGGAGGAGGGGGAAAAGACAAAGAGGAGGAGGAAGACGAAGAGGAGGAGGGGGAAAGGAAAGACGAAGAGGAGGGGAAAAAGACAAAGAGGAGGAGGAGAAAGACAAAGGGAGGATTAGAAAGACGAAAAGAGGAGGAGAAAGCCGAAGGGGGGGGAGGAGGAGGGGGGAAAAGCGAAGAGGAGGAGACGAAGAGGAGGAGGAGGGGAGGAAAAAAAGACAAAAAGAGGAGGGGGAAAAGACGAAGAGGAGGAGGAGGAGGGAAGGGGGGAGGAAAAAGGGACGAAGAGGAGCAGGGGAAAGGCAAAAAGAGGAGAAGGAGGAGAGGAAGCGAAGGGAGGAGGAGGAGAAAAAAAAAAGAGGAGGAGGAGGAGGAGGAAAAAAGGAAAAGAGGAGGGGGGGAGGAGGAGGAGGAGGGGAAAGACAAAGAGGGGGAAGAGGAGGAGAAAGACGAAGAGGAGGAGGGGAGGAAAAAGACGAAGAGGAGGAGGGAAAAGAGGAGGGGGGGAAAGACAAAGAGGAGGAGGAAAAAGGGACAAAGAGGGGGAAAGGAGAAAAAAACGAAGAGGTGGGGAGGAAAAAGGGACGAAGAGGAGGGGGGAGGAGGAAAAAGACAAAGGGGGAGGAGGAGGAAAGCGAGGGGGAGGGGGAAAAGGGAAGAGGAGGAGGAGGAGGGGAGGGGGGGAGGAGAAGTTGAAGTGGAGGAAGAGGGGAGGAGAAAGACGAAGGGGGAGGAGGAGGAGGAGAAAGACGAGAGGGGGGAGGGGAAAAAAGGATAAGGGGAAAGGGGGAAAGTGAAGAGGAGGAGGAGGAGAAGGAGAAAGACGAAGGGAGGGGGAGGGGGAAAGATGAAGAGGGAGGAGGAAGATGAAGGGGAAAGGGGGAAGAAAGACAAAGGGAGGAGGAGAAAGGGGAAAGACGAAAGAGGAGGGGGAAAAAAAAGACAAAGAGGAGGGGAGGAAAAAGGGACGAGGGGGGGGGGAAAAGGACGAAGGGAGGAGGAGGAAAAAGAGGGAAAGAGGGGGAAAGGAGGAAAAAACAAAGAGGAGGGGAAAAAGGGACGAAGAGGAGGAGGAGAAAAGGAAGAGGAGGAGGAAAAGGGGACGAAGAGGAGGGGAAAAAAGAGGGAAAGGGGAAAGGAGGAGAAAAGACAAAGGGGGAGGAGGAAAAAGGGCGATGGGGAGAGGAGGGGAAAAGGGGAAGGGGGGAAAAAAAGAAAAAGGGAGGGGGAGGGAAAAGACGAAAGGGGGAAAGAAGGGGGAAAAAGGGAAAAAGAGGAGGAGGAGGAGGGGGGAGGAGGGGGAGGGGGGAGGATTAGGAGGATTAGGGGATTAGGAGGTTTGGGAAAGGATTAGGAGGAGGAGGAGGAGGAGGAGGAGGAGGAGGGAATAATAATAATAATATTTTCCCCTTGAACCCCATAAAAAACAAAGTCCACCAAAGTGAAGTGACTGAAAAGATGAGATAAAAATTTGTTTAAGAGCTGACGTTTGATGGGCTTTACACAGGGTGGGGGAGGGGGTGCAGCTGATAAGAAAAGATTGAGGGATATTTTTATGAAACATTTCCCTCACTTTGTTTTTTTTGGTACAAAAAATGTCGGGCTGTCTATTTGGGCTGGGCTGTTTAACTCCCTATTATCTATCTATAAATTTAAAAAAAAGGAAAAATTCCGTGACTGGAAAGAAAACCAAAAAACCCGCACATTTAAAATGGACTTTGTCAATGGTTCAAGTCGGACCGAAAGTTGTGGGAAGCTTCTTTTCTTTTTTTGTGGGGGGTTAATTTTTTTGTATTATCTATCTTTTCCGTCTAGCTCCCCTGTTTTCAGAGAGAGCCACAAGACTGATCGTCATCACATTTACTCAATCTTCAAGGGAGAGGATAGCACTTTGTCTGGATTTTTTGGATTTTCCTGGGAAATTTACACTATGGGAAATTGTTTTTTATGTTTACCTGTGCACGAGATAGAAGAAAAGAGAGAGAGAGAGATTGAAAGAGAACAGAAAACAAAAACGATAGAACAGAGACAGTTGAGACGACAAGAAGACAGAGGTTTGACAGAGGTAGCAGAAGGTGACGAGATCCCGAGATAGAGGGTAGCAGGCCCCCAAAATGGGGTTAACATCACTTTCCTCTTAAAAAATGGGGTGTTAATATGACATTTTCCCCATGAATCCCTTTTTGTTTGCCCCATGTTTGTCTAGTGGTGCTCAATTTAACTGGCGCTCCCAAGGTTTCCAAGTTTGGGCCCAGATTTTTTTTTTTTAAAACCCTGCAACTGAGTGTTAGGACCCCTTCATGCTGACAAGGGATCTCAGGCCAATCGGGCCCCCAAAATTTGGGAAAGGAGGCAAAAAAAAAACGTTTACTACGTTTGGGGCCCCCTTTTGCGTAAGAACGTTTTATGTAAGGGTTTGGATGTTTAAGGGGTTTTCACTATATTTCCAGCTATTTATTAGTTTGAAAAAAAACTAAAAATACTTGAGATGATAAGACAGTAACGATGTACATAAAGCTTAGGGTTTTGATGAATGCCTTTGGGTTGGGTACAAAAAGTAGCATTCAAACAGAGTTGGCAATACTTTAAACTTTGTGGCACTTGGCTGCTTGAAAACACCATACAGTACAAACCTTTGATTTTGAGTCTTGCTGCTTTTGATTTTCTTGTTTATATTTCACTGTTGGTTTGGAAGACAATGAAACCTT